ATCATTGCCTCTATCATAGTAGCTATGGTATAATCAAAGTATGCCAGTTAACCAGAGATAACAGAGAATAACCCTCACCCAGACCTACCCTATGGTAATATCAAGCTATTTCTCCCTTTCTGATATTGTTCTTTAATTATTCTACATCTAGAGACAGATTTATCATTTATTGTCATAACAGGTTTCACTGATGATATATATTTAAAAATATGATACTGATACTATTTAATGAAATTGAAGAGCTCTAGAATGAGTTTTTAGAGTGGAAGCACCATGGCATATAGTCATGTAGTTCATGCACTATACAACTCTAGAGAGAGGTTGCCATTTACATTAGAGTTCACAACTTAAAAGGGGGCCCTGGATAAAGATGAACTGGGGATCATCTTTAATCTAGTGTCAAGGTCTATGTTTCACTGTTTAAATGCTACCAAATAGTTTTCTTTGTAATTGTTGCTATCTTCCTAGCCATCCTTAGCACCTTAAAAATTTGCTAAGAACCAGTGGTTATTCAAATCCTCTTTGTTGATGACCTGGATAGCATTGAGCTAACCCCAATTGCACCAGAAGATGAATAGATGTTTGTGTTAGGCTGTTCTTACATTGCTATAAAGAAATCCCCGAGACTGGGTCATTTATAAGAAAAGGGGTTTAATTGGCTCCTGGTTCTGCATGCTGTACAAGAAGCGTAGTGACATTTGCTTCTGGGGCTCACTTATCACCAAGGGGATGGCCCAAGCTATTCATGAAGGCTCCTCCATCATCCAACACCTCCCACCAGCTCACACCTCCAACATTCAACATGAGATTTGGATGGGGACACGTATCCAAACTATATCAATGTTCCAGCTGAAACAGAGAAAAATGGCTTTGATGTGCAATGACTAAAGGTTTCAAACTTCACAGATTTCCCTTTGATTAGTGATCCTAGAGACTTTATGACCTAATAGGACATTCTCGGTTTATGCAGAAGGCAGTAGAAGCTACGTTATTTCAAATATCATAAAACTTCTCCAAAAACATATGTTCAGCCTTGAGAAAACGTATTCCAGATCTGACAACTGAAAGCAGTCTTTTGAGTGGTGCCAGTCTGCATTAAGTTCTTGATCTATATTTTTTTTCAAGATGGTTGCTGGGATCATCTTTCATTCTGGCCTTTCCTACCTGCATTTGGAAGTTGAGTAGATCCTGTCTTTAGTGAAAAGGCATAGTTTATTTTGACCAGAGGTCTCAGTTACAGCACATGGTAGTCACTCACTGTGTATGTACACTGAGTCACTGAATACACAAATTTACCTTTGATCATGTCTTGTACACCACTTAGGTCCTGCCCTAAGAGTTAGCAAAGCTCAAGAATGAGTTTGTAGACATTTTAAGATTGTATAATAACGTTTTGAACTTGATGTCTTTCACCTGATGGACTCAAAACATTTTACTTACAAGGAGACAAAGTCTCAGGAGGCTGGCATTGTGTTCTGGTAGAAAGAGTAAAGGTTCTACCAAATAGCTGAATGACCTTGACCCATCCCCCAGACTTGCAGGGGCGTCTAATCTTTTGGCTTCTCTGGGCTACATTGGAAGAAGAATTGTTGTGGGCTACACATAAAATACACTATCGCTATTGATAGCTGATGAGCTAAAAAAAAAAAAAAAATTGCAAAAGAAATATCATAATGTTTTAAGAAAGTTTAAGAATTTGTGTTGGGCCACATTCAAAAGCATCCTGGGCCACGTGTGACCCGTGGGCCGTGGGTTGGAGAAGCTTGCCATGATGGGCCTCTTTCATCTGTAGAATGAGGGTTCGAGGATAGGTGATTTCTGAGTTCCTTTCCAGAAATAAATCACTCTGATACTGTCTCCCCAGGCTACACTTAAATACTTGTGAATTAAATCTAAGTCAACTCCACCAGTTTCAGGTAGAATCAAGCCTAAGGCATTTGCAGAGGAGAGCATTTTCTGTGGCGCTGTAGTTCACTCAATAATGCCTCCGTTTTTTTTTTTAAAGCAGTGCTTTTGGAGGGGGGACAGAGTTCAAAAACTTAAAAAATAGGTTAATTTTTAAACTTTTTATTGAAAATGATGGCATACATATAAGTGTACAACTCAGTGAATTTTGTGAACTGAACACACCCATGTAACTGGCACACATAATATTCCCGGTACCTCAGAAGCCTCCCTTGTGCCCACATCCAATATTGTTATAACTCCCTACCTTCCAAGGATAAGCCTTCTCCTGACTTCTCACCGCATCGATTAGTTTTTTCTGCTTCGATTTCTCATGAATGGAATTATGTACAATAAGTGCTCTTTTCTCTCTGGTTTCCTTGGCAAACATTATATTTCTGAGCTGCACTGAGATTGTTTTGTATAGCTGTAGCAGACACTTAAGTCTTTCCTCCAGAGAGACATCGATACATCTTTGCACAACTGTGTTAACATCCTCATTTGAGTGACTCCTTTGGGAAGATCAATAACATGCCATTATGCCCAGAGAGAGGTTAAAAGAGGAGGGAGAAATTAGAGGCTTTTTATAATTGATCAACATATTATAGCATTAATACATAATACAATTTATTAATTTAAGATATGCAAGCTGTCTTTTGAAGGAGAAAGATTCACCTCCTGGTCTAAAACATCATCATGTCAGGTCAAGGAAAGAATCACTCTCCTAGTGCTGGTTATGAGTATTCAATTACAGAATTCTTAAAGATTGCCAGCTTTATCTTGAGACAGAAATTCTGGCTTATATATCCCCCTTCTTTCCATGCCCTCTACCCCTTAATCCCAGCACTGCCTGATCCTGCACATACTAGGTGCAAAATAGATACCTGTTGAATGAATGAATGAATGAATGAATGACGAGTACAGCTAACATTTACAGTACCTTCACAGAGCCAGCCACTGTGCAAAGATTTCTTGTTTACTCACTGCAACAGCACTATCAGGTGAGTGCTGTTATCTCAATTTGCTAGATGGGGAAACATGACCATTGGAAATAACTTGTCCACAGTCACTCAGATATTATGTGGCCGAGCTGGGACCTTTGAACTCATGCTCTTTAGTCTTCACCACTGTGTATTCACACTCACTCTAGGACTTGCAGAGGCTGCAAGTGGTGGCTGGATTCATGAGTGCCCTTGGCTGAGAGCTCTGCTAGCTGAGGACACACAGCCTGGTTTGTCCAGCCACTTCCCTCTGGCTGTGTAGAGGAAGCCTGCCCAGTTGGCTCTCGCCACCCCCTTGCTTGTGCCTGTGCCCATGAGTGGTTCCTTTCTCAGCACCCCACGCCAGCCTCCGCTCCTAGTGCTGACTGCCCGTCATGGGGTAATGTTGGCCAACTCCCAGACATGGGAGGATCAGACGGTCTTAGCGTTTGCGATTCTCTCTGTGTGCTGGACTCTCCCCTAGCCCCTGCCCCACCTCCAGCACGTGCATTTCATCTAATTCACTCCTATTCAGCCCTCACATCTCAACTGGTACATACTGGCCCTCAATAAATATCTGTTGAATGAATAAATGAATGAATGGCAAATGAGGCTTTTAAATTCAATTCTGATATAAACTACTAAAATGCAAGCAATGATGATAAAATAATGTGCAACAAAAAGGAAACGCAATGTACTGATGAAACTGGGTAGTTCCCTTGACCCCTTCGTGGGACTCATGAAGGAGTGGCTCACTGACTCAGCCCACAGCTCTCACCCCCTCGCGGGAGGGGGAGCACGCAGGTGAGTGGGTACAGAGGCCAGGTTGAGTGCTTCTGGGCAACCAGCAGGAGCAGGACTCTGTGCGGGCCCACGGCAGCATCGACAGGTTGCCCACGACCTCCAGAGCCCCAGAGGGCATGTGTTACAGCACATTCTTTTAGCATTGCCATCTGTGGACAGTGTAAATGTTAAACAGCTCAGTGTCATTGTGACAGCCTCTTGCACCCGCACCCAGGTATTCGTCTGGCATCCAGGAGGAATGAAGTTGTAAGAACAAATTGGAGGGTGGCGAATGCTGAGGATTTTATTGCTGACGAAAGTGGCTCTCAGTGGGATGGGTAGCTGGAAAGGGAATGGAGTGGGAAACTTCCCCTGGACTTTGGCCATCTGTGGCTGAACTCTTCTCCGAAGTCCCACTGTCAAGCCATCTCTCTGAAGTCAAGCTGCTCCTCTCCAACGTCCGGCTACTTCTCTTCTCTCCTTCTCTGCCACCCTGCCAGTGAGGCCTGGGGTTTTTATGGATACTGGACTGGGGGACAGGGCAGGCCAGGGTGGTTTTGGAAAAGGCAACATTTGGGCAGGGAAACAGGAACGCATGTTCTCACTTTGGGCTACGGGTCCAGTCTTGAGAGTGTGGCCCTTGTCCAGGACCACCTTCTTCTACCCAATATTTCCCTGCCTCCTGTCCATATCACTTATCCTTTTGCAGTATAAAACATACAAGAGGAAAACTCCGCCTCAAAAACAAAAACAAAAACAAAAACAAAAAAAAAACATGAATAGGAGCTGGGCACAGTGGCGCTGCCTGAGGCAGGAGGATTGCTTGAAGCCTCAGTATACTATGATCACACCTGTGAACAGCCATTGCGCTCCAGCCTGGGCAACATAGCGAGACTCTATCTCTTTAAAAAAGTGTTTTTTTAAGGACAAATAACAGAGAAATTGATAGATTATTGAAAAGATTCTGTGTAGTGGTAATAATGACGTATTGTAACATTTTGCATTTTTAATTTCTTCTCTTGTTATTTTGCATGTGTTGATGTTTTCCATAAATCCACATGGGCTACCTTGCTTCTAATAGGTATAACATCCTACTGGGCAACCCTCCCATCATAAACATGGGTTTTGCTTGTTGTCACCAGTGCCCGACTGGCGTTTCTGATTCTCTGGAACCATAGCAATTTGAAGTGCACAGGATCACAGGTTGCCTTGGTTGAGGAATGACCTTTGAGGTATTGCCGTGTTGTGATTATGGCAACTGTGATGATCTGTTTTCGCCTTACTTTATTCCAGGATGGTTTTCTCTGGCAGGCAGTGTGGCCGTGTTGGCAGAACTGAAGAAGTTTTACTGACATTCAAGATATTCCTTGTCATCATTTGTCTTCATGTCGTTCTGGTAACATCCCTGGAAGGTAATGTGTCTGTTTTTCTTCATTTTTTTTTCTGTTTATCTGCTTGTATATGTGTAATTTTTTTGTTATTTAGGATTTTTTTACTATGGTAAAATAATATAATATTTATCATTTTAACCATTTTTAAGTATACAGTTCATTGGCATTAAGTACATTCACAATTTTGTGTAACTGTCACCGCTATCCATTTCTAAAACGTTTTCATCATCCCAAATAGAAACTCTATATCCATTAAACAATAACTCCCCATTTCCTTCCCCCGACCCCTTCCTGGTAACCTCTGTTCCTTTTCTTTCTATGTATTTGCCTATTGGAAGTACCTTAGATAAGTGGAATCATACAATATTTGTCCTTTTGTGCCTGGCTTATTTCACTTAGGATGTTTTCAAAGTTCACCCACATTGCAGCTTGTATCAGAATTTCATTCTTTTTAACGGCTAATGTTTCACTGTATGCATTGACCCCATTTTGTCTATTCATTCATCCATTGATGGGCATTTGGGTCGTTTCCCCCTTTCGGCTGTTGTGAATAATGCTGCTATGAACATGGGTGTACAAATCACTATTTGAGTCCCTGCTTTCATTTCTTTGGGGCATATACCTAGAAGGGAATTGCTGGATCATATAACCCTGTGTTTAACATCTTGAGAAACTGCTAAACTGTTTTCCACAGTGGCTGTATCATTTTACATTCCTACAAGCAAGGCACAAGAATTCCAGTGTCTCCCATTCTTGACGATGCTTGTATTTTCCTGTTGTTTTGGCAATGGGTGTGAAGTGGTATCTTATTGTGGTTTTGATTTACATTTCCTTAACGATTAGTGATATTGAGCATCTTTTCATGTGCTTATTGGCCACTTATATATCTTCTTTGGAGAAGTGTCTATTCAAATCCTTTGCTCAGTTTTGAATTGGGTTGTTTTTGTTGGTGTTGAGTTTTGGAGTTCTTTGTGTATTCTGGATATTAATCCCTTATCGGATATATAATTTGCAAGCATTTTCTCCCATTCTGTGGAGTGTTTCTTCTACTCTCTTAATAGTATCATTTCATGCATAAATTCTTTTAATTTTAATGTGGTCTATTTATTTTTACTTTTGTTGTCTATGCTTTGGTGTTATATCAAAGAAATCATTGCCAAATCCAATATCATGAAGACTTTCCACTATGTTTTCTTCCAAGAATTTTATAGTTTTAGCTCTTATGTTTAGGTCCTTTGATCGATTTAGAGTTCATTTTTGTATATGGTGTAAGGTTAAGGGTCCAACTTCACTCTCGTGCATGTGGATATCGTTTTCCAGCCGCATTTCTTGAAAAGACTGCCCTTTTGCCATTGAATGGTCTTGGCACCTTTGTCAAAAATCACTTCGTTACTGGTGGAGGGTGTCTAGGTTTTTGGCATCTTGAACAAATAATTGGACAAAATGCACAAACGAAGCAAGGAAGGAATGAAGAGATTTATTGAAAATGAACGTACACTCCACAGTGTGGGAGTGGCCCAAGCACAGGGGCTCAAAGGCCCTATTACAGAATTTGTGGGAGTTTCCATTGGTTACTTGGTGTATGCCCTACGTAAATGAAGAGGACAAAGTAAAGTTACAAAGTCATTTAGTCAGCGTACACCCTATGGTGAGGATATTTCCTGTCATAGCTGAAGTGTGAATCGGCTTTATGTTCCCTACCTCCAGACCCTATTTTCCTGCCTCAAATTGACCATATAGATGAGGGTTTATTTCTGGTGTTTACTTGTTCTTAAATGTATCTGCTTGAAGGTACAACCATATGGAAATTTAAAGGCGGTAGAGAATCAGACAAATGAAGCAGCCTGGTATTTTCAGAAAGAGGGATCTTTAGAAGTTCATGGAACAAGAAGAAAAGGTATCTAAGAAAGGTAGTTGAAAGACCAGCAATGCTGGGCCTGCAATTTCTGTGGGCACAACTGCCAAAGGCAAGTGTAAAGAACCCTCATTAGGAGGTTCACACCTGTAATCCCAGCACTTTGGGAGGCTGAGGAGGGAGGATCACTGGAACCCAGGAATCCAAGACAAGCCTGAGCAACATAGTGAGACCCCGTCTCTACAAAAATGAAATAACATAAAAAATTAGCCGGGCGTGGTGGTGGGTGGCTGTATTCCCAGCTACTTAGGAGGCTGAGATGGGAGGATCACTTGAGCCCAGGAGGCAGAGGTTGCAGGAGGCAGAGGTTGCAGTAAACAGTGACCGTACCACTGCAGTCCAGCTTGGGTGGCAGAGTGCAACCCTGTCTCAAAAAGAAAAGCATCCTCATTAGGAATGAGACTAGGAAATGTTTGATACTTAAGACATCAAGGACACACAAAGAAATACCTTTCTTATTCAGAAGTGGGTGGCAGGACCAAGGAATCTTTATTGCATAAGATAAAAATCTACTAGCAGCAAACAACAAAACACACAAACAAATAAAACACACATACAAATACACAGACTAAATGGAAAACTTCCCAACAAGCTATAACACAATTGGCAATCCTTTAAAAAGTAGGTACGGGGGCATGTTGTCAAGAAGCCGCCATTCTTTAAGAAAAGAAATGATGGCCGGGTGCGGTGGCTCATGCCTGTAATCCCAGCACTTTGGGAGGCCGAAGCGGGTGGATCACCTGAGGTCAGGAGTTCAAGACCAGCCTCGCCAACATGGCAAAGCCCTGTCTCTACTAAAAATGCAAAATATTAGCCGGGCGTGGTGGTGTGCGCCTGTAATCCCAGCTATTTGGGAGGCTGAGGCGGGAGAATTGCTTGAACCCGGGAGCGGAGGTTGCAGTGAGCCGAGATCATGCCATTGCACTCCAGCCTGGGTGACAGAGTGAGACTCTGTCTCAAAAACAATAAAGAAAGAAAAGAAAAGAAATGATAAGGACTAAATGTATTCTGAAGGCTTACAACATACCAGGTTCCTACATGTTTAGTACACATCCACTCCCTTAATCTTCTCAATCCAGTCTAGGAAGGGGAGATCCTAGTTATATTGCCATTTTCCAGATCAGGAAGCTGAGGCTCAGAGAGGTAAGTAACTTGCCCAAGGCTGTTAGCCCTTAAGAAGCGGCAGAGCTGGAATTTGAACCCAGTAGTCAGCCTCTAGATTTTGTGCTTGTAACCACAAAACCAAGTTATCAAACTTGAGCATGCATCAGAATCCCCTGGAGGGCTTATGGAGGTACCGTTCACTGGGCCCCATCCCCAGAATTTGTGCTTCAGTGGGTCTGGGGTGGGACTGAGGAATTGACAGCTCTAACAAGCTCCCCGGTGATGCTGATGATATAGTCTAGGGACTACACTTTGAGAACCACTGCCTACACAACTGGTGGAAGACAGAAATGGGGAGAGAATATATATATCCTAGCACTTTGGGAGGTCAAGGTGGATGGATCGCTTGAGCTCAGCCTGGGCAACATGGGGAGACCCTGTCTCTACCAAAAAAAAAAAAAAAAAAAATTAGCTGGGCGGTGGCGTGCCTGTGGTCCTAGCTACTCAGGAGGCAGAGGTGGGAGGATCGCTTGAGCCCAGGAGGTCAAGGCTACGGTGAGCTGAGATCATGCCACTGTACTACAGCCTGGGTGACAGAGTGAGACTCTCAAACAAAAAATAAAATAAAATCTAAACTATTCTCACATGCATCATCTCCTTAGGGCACTGAAACATTACTGTGGGCTTGGCAGGGCGAAACTCAAGAGTCCCCACTTTACTGATGAGTAAATGTCCCCAGGGAGGTTATTGGTTAGGAAGTGGCGGAGCCCAGACTAGATGCTAGATCTTCAGTCTCACGTTTCGGTGCTTTTTCCACCACAGGGGTAGATGAGGCAGGAAAGTGGAACACAAGGGAAAAAACTCATCCAAATGAAAGCTGTTTGTTAGAAATATGTCTTTTTGAAAAATTATGTTTTAAAATGCCAACAACAGGGGCAGGTAAATAGGAAAGTGCATGGCTCTGAAACAAACCTAAGTAGGGAAAAGCTGAGTGATCACTAAAGGCAGCTGACTGCATTTCTTGCCTCAAATCTCTGATGAATTGATTTCTTAAAGCAGTGGTTCCCAAAGTGTGGCAGACAAGTAGCACTGGCATCACCTGTCTCTCAGAACGCCCAGTAAGAGTGTTTATTCATGTTATGTATTTATTTTGTTTTTGTTTTATTTTCTTTTTCTTTCTTTCTTTTTTTTTTTTGGAGACAGGATCTTGTTGTTGCCCAGACTTGAGTGCGCGATCTCAGCTCACTGCAGTCTCAACCTCCCGGGCTCAAGTGATCCTTCCACCTCAGTCTCCGGAGAAACTGGGACTACAGGCAACACCACCACGCCCAACTAATTTTTTAAATTTTTTGTAGAGATGGGGTATCACTATATTGCCCAGAGTGGTCTCAAATTCCTGGGCTCAAGCGATGCTCCCACCTTGCTTCCCAAAGTTCTGGGATTACAGACGTGAGTCACCATGCCCTGCTCCTGTTACTGAACAATCACCTTGATAGCACTCACCACGTGCCGGCCACTGTTCTAAGCCCTTACAAATGGCTAACTCATTTAAAGCCCACTCTATAACCCCTTGAAAAAGGCCCTATTATGAGCTCATTTTACCGGTGAGGAAATTGAGGCACAGAGGAGGTAAGCAACTTGCCTTAGGTCAAATAATTAAGAGGTTGCAGAGTTACAATTCAAATTCAGGCCATCTGGCTCCAAAGCCTGTACGTTGGACCTCTATACTATGGTGCCTTTTCACATTCTTAACCTCTCTGCTATGCTAGGCTCAGTTGCTTGGTAGTTGTGAATCTGTAGATTAAAAATAAAGATGGAATCCATAATTGTGAGAATCAGTGTTGTTCTGGATCACCCAGGTGGCTCATAGGCACCACCTCCCCCAATAGCTTTGAACTGGGGCAGGGGTTCTTTTTGTTCAGGATGGCTTGGGCCTGGTTTTTGAAGGCCAAGGGGACTGACCTGCCACTTCTCCATTGGGTTATCAATTGTGCAATAATGA